CTTAACCAACTGAGCCACCCAGGCGCCCGAGGCTGTTGTTTAATGAATATCCATCACATATGAGTTAATAAGTACTTAGTTCTGCATGGCATTGTTCAAGGAAGGTAATGATAGTACTTATTATATGCCTAATTCATATTTGTGTCCTATAGACATCTGACTCTACAGTGGATGGATGGATGGATACATAGATGAATGTCATATATATTAAATAAGCATGTGAATCGCTAAGATTTTTACAATGCGTATTTAAGAACTTTTCAAGAGAATATATTTGAGAGTTTCTTAGATGAGGAGGAGGGGGAGTTTTCAGCATCTTGTTTCTTCCTGAAACTTTTAATAATTTTTGGTGGAAATACGTGACAGATCTTTGTAATTACAGTAGGGTCATTAGCTAGGATTTACCTGAACCTAGCCCTGTTTAAAGCTGGTATGTCTTCCCCTGTCCATTAGTATGAAGTGTGGCAAAAGTATTGTTTTTGGAATCAGATGGACCTAACATTCTCCCCTACTATTGCAGTGACCTTTAGCTAAGTTACTTAACCACTTTGAGCTTTGAGCTTTCTGATCTGTAAAATGGGGATCACACGTATCTTTTAACGCCCTTGTGAGAATTTGGAAGCACAGCACTTGGCATACTGATGACTTTTACACATGGTGGTTATTACAGCGGCAACTGTTGCAGTCTTTACTACTAATTCCTACTAGTCAGGGGTAGCTCTGGGGTTTCTAGGGGTTAGTTGGGTAGCCAGTTTTTGTTTTTTAAAATTAATTCAAACAACTTCTGTGCTTTGGTTTACTGTGTGTCAAGTATGATACATGGTCTTTTGTGTCAACTGCTTTCTGGTCACTTGGTTAATGAAGAGTAGACTAGACACATAAAGGAGTTTTGTCCAAAGACCTTTAAGCTCTTTTACATATTAAGTTTTGTAGCACTCCGGTGTTTTGGGTAAATGTCACTTTAAAGAGTGAAAGAAGACACAGATAGCTTAATTACTTGTGCGTGATGATCAGCTAGTCGGTTATAAATGAATAAAACAAACCTTCCAATAGTTTTTCTTTCAGCAAAAGATGTTCAGAAAATACCTGGAACGTCAGCTGGCAGTTGCTAGCAAATCCTATCATTCCTGTTACTCTGTCCTGTATCTTTCCTTTATTTTTTTCTTTCCAGTTCTAGTGAAACTGCCCTGATTCTGACCTTGTCTCACTCTGGACTGGTGTGTGTATCTTTTCCTCTAGACCTGGCTCTCCGCCCAGCCCTCACCCTCCAGCTACCTGCTCATCCTGCCTCCCATCTGCCCACCCCCGCCCCTGACACTCAATGCTTGAGTGCAGCCTGTATACAGCTATTAGGTTATTCTTTCAAAATATTATTTTCTTCATAGAGTTCTAGTTGTAATTTTCTCTCTCTCCTCCCTTTTCTTCTGTCCTCCCCTCCCTTCCCAAATCCTCTATGTTCTCCTCTTCACGTGCCTTTGTACATTCCAGTCTCTTTGCCCTTACTCCCGTGGCTTGGCTTTCTCGCCCCTCTGCCCTCATCCTTTTTAGTTGCCAGTTTTCTGATCAGTCTTCTCTAGCAAATCATTCCTGATTTCCGAGTTCAGTTTGATTGCTCCTTTTTTAGGACGTCTGTATTCCTCATTTGTTACATGTTGGCAGTTGTCTGTGGTGTATAATTTTTTAAATGTCTCTGATTATTGAACGCTCTCATTTTGTAGATGAGGAAACTGAGACCCAGAATGAATAATGTATTTGCTTTTGTCACCATCACAGTGCTTTCTTCATCGTAGACATTCAGAAATGCAGGTCGGCAGTGCATGGTGTCCGTGTGTGTGTGTGTGTGTGTGTGTGTGTGTGTGTGTGTGAGAGAGAGAGAGAGAGAGAGGGAGGGGGAGAAAGAGAGAGAGAGAGTGTTTCCAAGGTGAGGAAGGGAAGCAGTTTAGTTCTGCCTTCCAATTTCCAAATATAACTCCTTTTTTCTCTCTTTCATGTTTTCTTTCTTTCATATATATTTTCCTCTTTCTATTTTTGTCTAGTGTTTAATTCTCATTGTTCTTCCTTTTATGTCCATAGTAGCTCAGTATGTGAGAGGAGGGAGCTGGGTGGGGGGGAGGTCTAGCTCAGTCCAGTGTAAAGCCTTCCCTCTACATCTGAAACTGATTTTGTCCTGCCCCGCTCTCTGCCTACCCCTAGCTGAACACCAGCCATCTCATCTCAGAAATCATTACTGCCTTTGAAGGTGAACTGTACAGGGTAGTTCAGATTATACTGAGTTCCAAGAATTTAAATTGTGAGATAGGGTTAAGGGTATTGGCCTGTTTCTCACTGGAAAAGCAGCCTCCTGAGCAATTTATTTGAAATTTTGAAATTTATGAAAATGCAGTGAACCTGTGGAATAAGTGACCAGGAAGGCAGCATAAGGAAAAAGACTGAGTCAGTTAAAAACATTTACTGAACACCCACTGTGAGTAGAACCTTGTTGAAGAGATGTTAATAAAGCCACAGTGTATTAAAGGTGAACGGTAATAAAATGATTGACAAGGAAACAGAAGGGAAGCAAAGATTTTAATAAAATGTCAGTAAGGTTTCAGTATATATGTGATACCCTTAACACTTTTCACATGTGTCCATAGCTGTGGTTGATTTGCTTCAGGAATTAACAGATATAGACACCCTCCACGAGAGTGAAGAGGGAGCGGAAGTACTCATCGATGCTCTGGTAAGTTGCTCGTCCCTCTGGGGTTTTGCGGGTGTGTGTAAGGTGTTAACATCATCACCATTGTCTCTGTGAGTGACACCAGGTGGGTGTGAGCTCCATGGGAAGGCTACACTGAATGAGGAGAGTAAGAAAGTAGAAATGCAACTTGTGGGGTACTTGATACTCTGGAACTGGGTTAAGGAAGGGGTTATAGAGGCCTAGCATTTATTAAATATCTGCTGAAGGCAGGCCTTTTCTCATTTTTTTTCACTTTATGTCCTCTTTACCATATCCTCTCTGCTACTAGTCCCATTTCCAGCTGTGACACTGAGGCTTAGAGAGGTGAAACAACTTGCCCGTGGTCACACAGCTGGGATTTGAACCTGTGTTCTCTTGGCTCCGTGTTCCTGTTCTTCTACCCCCATGTGGTGCTGCTGACCCTTGCACAAACGTTTCTCCTCTCCTCCCGGAAGCACCAGTGAGGACAGATACCATTATCATTTTACAGATAGGGAATCGGAGAACGTTAAAAGCAAGAACAAACCTTCCAGCTCATCCGACCAGAGTTGCAGCCCCTGCCTGTAGAGCCCGGGCTGGTGGATTTCTCTGTGCCTTTTTTGTGGAGGCTGGGTGAGGCTTCAGAGTCTTCCAGGCAGCAGCCAGTCATATGGAGTTTATATGTGAGTTAAACCAGTCTGTTCTCATCACCTCCCTTTACACATGAGGAGACCCAGATACAGAGGGGCAGCTCTCCACCGGGTCACTCAGCCCGGCCCTGTGCAGCTGGGATGAGAGCCTGCGTGTTCGGATCCCCAGCATACCAGCTTCCCTCTCGACAAGGAGGCCTCCAGGACTGGAAAGGCACCCCAGCTGGCAAGTGGAGGAGGGAGTCCAGTCCAGCCTCTTACCCTGACACCTCCTGTGGGGCTCTGTCCACCCATCAAGCTGTCTCCCTCCTCTAGGCTCTATTAATTTTCCTTCCTCTCTGTTGTCTTCTGTGGTCTGGTCTTTTCTTTCTGCTAAGAATGTTAGTAAATACTGGTTTTGATGCAGTTTACAGTTTATCAAAAATGGCTGCAGTCCCTTGTATTAGAAGCACCGGGGTGTTTGTTAGGCTATATTCTGGCCCCATCCCAAACCCACTGAATCAGAATGGTTGGGCCTGGGGCCCCAAGTGATTCTGACACCCCACTGCTGCTCCACTCACCCTCTCCTCACTCTTTCTCTCAAGGTCCTTGACACTGGCAGTTTCCCATGTGCCATGCTTGTTGCTGGTGTTTGGTGTGAATAGAGAGGCTCTGAACCCACCGGGTATGAAGGCCTGTCTCCTACAGAGTCTGAGGCTGGAGTCCAGCAGGGCTGTTTGTGACTGAGTTTGATGAAAATTTCTATTGCCATTTTTCTTTCAAGCTCCTTCCTAGAGCAAACTGCCACTTTTGTAGAATTCAGGACCTTTATTTTTCCTTTGAACCACGAAAGAAAAGGATGATGTTGGGTTGTCCTTTTGTTTTGAGGAGCATCTGAAGGAAGGCTGTGGCACTTGCCCCTGCTCTGTGTCCCCACGGTGTCATTTGTGCAGTCTCACCTTCCAGAGGTTAATTACGGTGGCCCTGAGTGAGCCTTCCTGCCTGGTCCCTGGGCTGATTTTAATTACCATCCATTGCCTGTGCGAGTAGAGGAGACGAGAGAGGAGCAGCTAGCCCGGCTGCTGCCTGTAAAACGTCCCCGGAAACAGCAGTTCCCACAAAAGCCCCCTTTGTGTTTTCTGTGTTGCTAAGCCCACCAACAAAAGCTGGGCCGTGCAGATTTTACTATTTGTTTGGAAAGAAACAGTTCATCCTCAGTCCGGGGAGCCGTTAGGTAGCTGCTATACAGGGTTTTCTGTTTGTTTAGGGGTTTTTTTTTATTATCATTTTAAGATTTTGACTCTTACAGCTTTATACTGATGGGGCTGGTGTGAATCACATTTGAACATCCCTAGACTTCTATATATTATTTGCTTGTCTGCAGCCAGTCAGCAGCTATCAGTAAATAACAGAGAACAGAACTGGTGGGTGGTCTTTCATTTATTATTATTTTTTTTTACCCTTGTGCTGCATTCAGGAAGAAGTTTGATAAGTATTCTCATATTACAAGGGTTGAGTTGTCTTTGTAGTTTTAATTTGGGGCCAATATCAGAGGCCTGGAATTGAATGAGCAGAGGCTAGAGGGCACGGAGCAGAATTTATTGTGGTGTGCAGTTTGCAGTTATTGCCTTGGTCTTTTTCCCAATTGGAAGTCCTGAGCAATAGACTAGCACATTTGTGGGGAGGGAGTGCTGTCCTGGCATTCTTGGGGATCTTTGGGGCTTAAAATTTGGTTCACATCCACTGCTGTTACTTATGCAAAAGGTGAATATTTGTGCTTTGTAACAAATTGATTTGGTAGCCTGGAAAATAGAGTCTTTTCTAAGAGTAGTAAATGCAAGAGTGTATTGCTTTAATGGCACTTCTCTAGCATACCTCTCTGAAGAAGTCTTCGGACTTCTTTAGCGTTGTGATTAGATGACAGCCATTTCTTACTTTCTAGTCCCCAAATTTGCCATGTGCTTGGCAGCCCCATGCCTTTGCTCACATCTGCCTTCAGCTTGGCAGGCCTTGCTTCTCCTGGGCTACCTGGAATACTCCCACTCATCCTTTAAAACCTAACTTAAAACTTATCTCTTCTGAGTTTTTTTTTATTTAAGATTTTATTTATTTATTTGAGAGAGAATGAGATAGAGAGAGCATGAGAGGGGGGAGGGTCA